GATGGCCTATTATTTCCAAAATATGTAAAATATAGACTTCAGGTATGTGTTTGGTATATATTGGCCAGAGTCAGGGCAGCACTCGAACAGGCATACAATAGAAAGAGAAGAGACAGGTTTTATCTTGCAATAGAGATGGTATTATCTGTCAGACATTAGCCACAAATATTGTTCAGTGGCTGGACAGTATTTAAACAGTTTTGTTAGGCTGCATGTAAGAGGGAGGGACAAGACAGGTTTTATCTTGAAATAGAAATTAGAGTTTATTATTTGAGAGACAATAGCCACAAATATTGTTCAGGGGCTTTACCGTATATAAGCAACTTGGTTAGGCTGCAATATAAGAGGGACAGACAAGACAAGTTTTATCTTGAAATAGAAAGAAGAGTTTATTATTTGAGAGACAATAGCCACAAATAAACAATTTACTAAAAACCAAAACAGTTTAAAGCACCTCTGTGAGCATGCACATACAAATGCAAACATAAGCAGCCATTAATACATATTAGTATCACCAAGCATAGGTGAGTGAAAGGAATAATATTAGGGATATTATTTATGGTCAACTCTAAACTGATGAGCTGTAAAGTGTTTTAAGTGTGGACTACAGAACATTTTGGGGTATTGTAGCTTGTTACCCTTTCACGACCACACGCAAATTTCAGTCTTGACATCTTTGGTATCTAATTGCTTAACTCAGTCTTATCTTTTATATTTTCATTTTATGCAACATAAAAAATTGCAGCTACCATCATTTTATTTAATGGGTCCTATGTGTTCAGATAATATAACATTTCCTGTGCACGGTAGCTTAAGTGAAATGAAAAAACAATGTCTCTGGCAGCAAAAGGGTTATGGAATGGAAGGGCCAAGGGGCACCATTGTTGGGCTGTGATTAAGGCATCAGTTGACATTAATGTGAGCTTGAATGACACCTCATTGACACGTATTAATATCAGTCTGTACTTTAAAGGAGAACTATGAGGTGAGGGATTTCCATGCATCCTCATAGTTAGAGCCGACCTGTGACAATGAAACTGTCACAGGTCGGCACTATCGATCGGGAAGTGAGCAGAAACATGCCACCAATCCGCTTACTTCCCGATCACCTCCCTGCGGGGAGAGGTGACTGTCAGTCACTGCTCCCCGCAGGGATTCCCCCACTCCCTTCCCTGATCCTCCAGTGCTGAATGGAGGAACGAATGGAGGAGGGGGCGGGCACAGCTGGCTCTGCCTCTAGATAGGCGGAGCCCGCTGTCACACACGTAGCTAGGTGGATCTCGACAGTATTGTCGGGATCCGTCACGGCTGCGGCGCTTTTAATATATCACGGCAATAGCCCACCATATACTGAGCTTTGGGTCACAGGAGGGGGTTAGTATATATCCTCCCGTGACCCTAAAGAAAACTATGAGGAAAAACACTTACCCCTTAGTTCTCTTTTAACATTTTTGGGTTGATTTACTAAGGCAAACTTAGTTTAGTGAATGAGGTGAAGCTCTGCTGACTTCCTTCATCCAATCATGTGCAAGGAAAAATACTGTTTTTTTTTTCCCATGCACATTATTGGCTATTTTTTGCAAAGTGAAATTTCACCACGGGGAACCTCCCCCTACAAAGCGAACAGCCTATTTGTATTTAGTAAATCAACCCATTTATGTCTTTCCATACAAAAGGTATTATTAACTTCCGTCTCATGTTCTTCCCATAGTGTATGACTGAGTACATGGTATCCACAAACAAGACTTCCTGGGATGTTTTCACCCTAATGGGGTTTCCAGAACAACGATTAATGATATCGCTTTTTATTGGTTTAATCTACACAATGACTGTCCTAGGAAACCTCTCTGTTGTTGGCATTGTTCAAGTGGACAGCCGCCTCCAATCACCGATGTATTTTTTCCTGGCGTGTCTATCTTTATTAGATGTCTGTTACTCTTCAGTCACTCTCCCAGCTGTGTTGGCCAATGCCATAACAGGTAACAGGAAGATACCATTCCATAGATGTCTTACACAACTCTATTTCTTTGTCTGCTTTGGAGGAACAGAATGTATTTTTCTGGCTGTCATGGCTTATGACCGATATGTGGCGATATGTAACCCGCTCCACTACACCACCACAATGAACCAAAAAGTCTGTTACTATCTTGTAGTAGTGTGCTGGCTCAGTGGATCAATGAACGCTGCATTTCACACCATGATGACCTGGAAACTAACTTTTTGTGGTGGCCTATATATCAGACACTACTTCTGTGATGTTCTCCCATTGTTACAAGCAGCTTGTAGTGATATACACAACAGTCAGGTGCTACTACACGTGGTTACGGCTTTTATTGGGATGACGCCATTCATACTTGTTACAAATTCATACATCCGTATTATTTCCACCATACTGAAAATCCGTTCCAACGCAGGAAGGCAGAAGGTCTTCTCCACGTGTTCATCTCATCTCATTGTTGTAACAGTGTTTTATTCTACTGCCATCTTCAACTATAACGGTCCACATTCGGGAGATTCCTTTGTCTTTGTCCGAGTGGCATCTTTTCTTTATAGTATTGTTCCCCCTTTGCTGAATCCGATTGTTTACTGTCTGAGAAATAATGAGGTGAAGAGAGCACTGAGGGATGTTTTTAGTAAATTATACGTTATGTAAATGTTAATACCACCCAAACCCGGAAATTATTTACAGGGTTATTCACAAAAGGGTGAAGAGTTTGGAGAAAGAAGAAGTGAACAATCTAGGACAACATAGCTGAATTGGAGAATTTTTCCAAATACGATATTTTGGCCTAGATTGTTCACTTCTCCTTCTTTCTCCAAACTCTTCACCCTTTTGTGAATAACCCTGTTAGAGTATTAAGAAAATGAGTCTGAAAATTCTACTGATACAATCCATCAAAGGTTCCATATTGTCAGTTCTGTAGTTTCTATCAACAGTCAGTTGAGGAAACAATTTGGAATTTCAAAGTATATTTATAGCTAAAACATTTTATTCATTTTGGATAAAATGTGGAAGTGTTGGAATCACTTAAAATGACATTAGTGGCATCTCCAGCAGTTGTCCGGATACGTGGAGGAGATCTGGTGCATTCTGACCGGGGACCTATACCATCAAGTCAACAGTTTAAAGTTCCGTTCTTGTGCATAAGTTGACATACAGAGTTTGTGTGTAAAGCATAAACATTTGTGACGATCATCCTCCGAGATGACGATTCCCAACTCCTGTTCCCAAGCGGAAAACAAGTACAGGGAATCTCCGCTGTGCCTGGTGATTAAAGCCTGGTAAAGTAGCGAAACTGGGCGTTGGATTGGTAGACCAGAAGCACACAGGTCTTCAAAAAAAGTGAGAGGCCTGTAGAGAGCACCCGATACAGACAATGCGTCCCCAAAATGTCGGAGTTGAAAGTAGGCCAGCCATGAAAATCGCGGAAGCGGGTTGGGGCCAGACAGTGATGCTAGTGGCTGCAGGGCTGTTCCCGACAGGCACTGAGATACATAACAAGGTTCAGAGACCTTCCAGCACAAAAAGGTGGGAACTCCATACCCCGCCGGGAAATCTGGGTTGGCAAGGATCGGGGTCATGGGGCCCCGAGACGTAGATAAGTTATATCTGGACATCGTGGTGTTCCAAACCCGTAACACTAGGGGCAGGAAAAAGGGAAGATCCAAGCTTTGCGGTCGAAGAGCAGTCGGTATCCACGGGAGCGTGAATAACGGTAACGGGGAAAGGTCGCGTTCCAGGGTAACCCACAACGCCGGGTCGCTGGAGTCAAACCAGGCTGCCAAATGGGATAGATCGGTGGCCCTATAATACGTCTCTAAGTCTGGGAGGGCGGCGCCCCCATGTTCCTTTTTCTTTATCAAGATAGTGTATCGCAGTCTGGGTTTCTTATTCCTCCAAATATAACGTAGGACCGGCGAGCGGATGCGTTTAAAGAAGCGGATCGGGAGACTTATAGGGAGGGTTTGGAACAAATAGAGGCATCGAGGTAGCAGATGCATCTTAAACAATGCGATTCTGCCAAACCAAGTATGGTGTAGGTTCATCCAGGAGGTAAGAGTGTCTTCTAAAGTCTCACAAAGTGGCTGGCACCTTAACCCCTAGGCAGGTAATGTGATCCGACCGCACTCGAAAGGGCAGTGAGTCCCGGAGGCTGTCCCGTTCCGCAGGGGAGAGAGATACATCTAGAAGTTCGCACTTTTGCACATTTACCCGGTAATTGGATAGACCCCCAAATATTTTAAATTCTTGCAGCACCGAAGGGAGAGCCACCAGTGGATTGGAAAGATACAACAATAGGTCATCAACATATAACCCCATTTTATGGATTTGCTTGCATATTGAAAGGCCTTGAATAGATTGATTGAGTCTAAGAGCGTTTGCCAGGCGTTCCATGACCAGGATGTAAAGCAATGGGGACAGGGGGCAGCCCTGCCGGGTGCCATTGTGTATTTGGAACGGGGCCGAAAGCACCCCGTTCACCCGTACTCTGGCGTGAGGTCGCCAATAAAGTGCCATGATTTTATCCACAAAATCTGTAGGGAAGCCCGTCTGAAGTAGAGAGGCCCGCAGGAAGAGCCACCCAACGCGATCGAAGGCTTTCTCGGCGTCTACCGAGAATAAACAAAAGGGAATTCCACTCGTCCGAGCGTAATGCATCAGGGTGATTGTGCGCCTAATACTATCTTTAGCCCCCCGTGCAGGCACAAACCCCACTTGTTCCTTATGAATCAGGTTAGGGATGAAGGATGTCAACCTGTTAGCCAGGATTTTCGCGTAGACTTTAACATCGACGTTTATTAATGAAATGGGGCGATAGTTATTGCAATGTGTCGGGTCCTTACCCGGTTTGGGCAAGACCACAACATGGGCCTCTAGGGCCTGGCTTGGGAAATGGCAGGGCGGGGAGATGGCATTGAAAGACTTAGTCAAAGGAGGCGTTAGGTAGTCTTTGAACCGAGAATAGAATTTAGTGGTAAACACGTCTGGCCCCGGGCTTTTGCCCGAGGGGAGGGACTTAAGTGTAGTAAGGACTTCAATGTCCGTGAACGGGGCAGTAAGATCTGGCAGGGCGTTATCCGGGAGTTTCGGCAGGGATGTCCGCGACAGGTACGACTGAAGTTCTGACATAAAGTCAGGGGAGCGGGGGTTAGCCGAACCCGGCTGTAGATTATAAAGGGAAGAGAAGAAGGTGTGAAATTCTTCGGCAATACGTTCAGAGCTATGGACCACTCCATGCTTAGCTGAGTTGATTTTTGGGACATATGTGCGGAGCCGTTGCCCACGAACCGAGCGGGCCAGCAAACGCCTGCTTTTATCGCCATGTTCGTAGAAAATGCTCGATCTCTATGAGAGAGATACTTAGCGTCTAGCAGTCTCCGGATTTCCAGTCGCAACCTGGTCAAATCCTGGAGTAGTGTGGGGGATGGGGCTTTTTTATGCGCAGTTTCCAGTGAAGTAAGGTTCGACAGCAGGTTTAACAGGGTAATCCCCCGTTCCCTCTTTAGTCGTGAGCCGTGTTTTATAAACACCCCTCGAATCGTGGCTTTAAGAGCTTCCCATTGAATCGGGGCGGGGGTGGTGTCAGCTGCATGATCAGAGAGAAAGTGGGTAAGGGTAGTTGCAACATCTTATTTACAGACCGGGTCCAAGAGAAGATTCTCATTCAATTTCCACGTATAGGATGGTTTACACATACCCGGGACCTCTAAAGTGAGAAACACCGGGGAATGATCGGACCAGATTCGGGTGCCAATAGCGGTAGCAGGGGCCCATGAAAGAAGATGATGTGAGATCAAAAAGAAATCAATCCTGCTATACAAGTTGTGTGGGCCAGAGTAACAAGTGTAGTCCCTATGACGCGGGTGTAAAACTCTCCGTGCGTCCACAAGCTGTAGAGAATGGAGGCGTTTCTTACGTTTATTAAGCAACGGATATGAGATCTGTGACCTCCCCGAAGTAGTGTCCAGACTAGGGTCCAACACCAAATTGAAGTTGCCCCCCAAGGTGAGAACCCCCTCCGTGAAATCCGCAAGTTTAGAGAGAATAGACAGTAACAAAGGGACCTGACCTTGGTTCGGCATATACACGTTAGCCAACGTAAACGTCCTATTCTGAATGGAACATTGCACAAAAACATACCTCCCATCTGGGTCAACCCTTTCAGCAAGTATCTCACATGTCAACGAGGAGTGGAATCCTATCGCCACTCCCTTGGTCTTACCACAGGGGTTGGAGCTGCTCTTCCTTTTAAATCCTCATGTCTTCTCATGCTTGGGCAGAACTTCCCTTTGCAGCTGACTGCCTCTTCCTGTAGTGCTGGCTCAGGTTGCAAACCTATACACAGACACCATGTATCCATTTCAGAGACAAGGCAGTCTGTGGCAAAACAGAAGTTCTGCCCAGCATGAGAAGAGATACAGATTTAAAAGGAAGAGCAGCAAAGAGAAGGGAAACAACCATGGATTACAGTAAGGCACACATTACAGTATTGTTTTATGTTAAAAAATCTGAGGGTTTAATGTCACTTTAAGGATTTATGCTGAACACTGTATCATGTACACCACCACCATGATACAGTGTGGTTCAGCATGTGACAAAGATTGTTACATTGGGGAAACTGGCCTTAAGCTGCATCTCAGGATGAACCTACACAGGAGCTCGATCAAGAACCACAAAGAGGATGAATATTGCACTCCAGTAGGACATCACTTCTCCCAGAAAGGTCACTCCATCCAAAACCTCAATATTAAAGTACTGAAAGGGAATTTTAAAAACTCTCATGAATGGAAAACATTTGAGATGAAAATGATTTTACATTTCAACGCCATAAAGGAGGAGGGACTTAATGTGGAGTCTGGTTTTCTGACACACTACCAGAACTTTTTGTGAAAATACAGAACATCATAATATTCATGTATGTTTAGGGTTTATTGGTCACCCTATGTTTATTTGTTCTGTCTTTTGGTTATCAGGATGCATTCTTTACTCCCAGGTCCAAAATGTATGATTCCCCCCCAACAACTTTCTCTTGCTTTAAGTGGTAAACTCGGTCATTATTATTATTATTACATAGTATTTATATAGCGCCAACATTTGCACAGTGCTTTACAATGTAATGTTGGTTAGTATTGCTTCTGACCTGAAGAAGAGAGAGGTTCACTCTCGAAAGCTTGTCTTTTAAATATTATAGTTAGTCCAATAAGAAAGGTATCATTGTACACTGCAATACTCCATTTTGTTTTTTTCTGCTTGTGTGTTTTTTTTCACATCTTGTCTACTGGACTAATATGGCTTACCCATTTATATATATATATATATTCTTTTTTTTTCTGTTTGGATTCAATTGATGGGGCACTCCATTCTTCTTTTATGTAGATCTAGACGTGAAGTGCCCTCTAGTGGCCCTCTCCCCCATCTGGAGCTGCCTGTGGGGGGATATTAACCACTCTGCATTCTGAACAGTTTTTTTTTTAATTTTTTTCGTACACACACGTTAAATCTGCATTTTTTGCTAGAAAATGACCCGAAAGCAATGATATATTTTCTGAAAGCAGAGCTCATATAGAATAAAACATTGAAAGTTGCAATTTTTTATGTTTGCACACTATTTGCGCAACTGTTTGCCAAATCGATTTTTTCTGGGGGAAATA